CAGCCTGCCAGGAAATGGCAACTCAAATGAAAAATATATTAATGTACAGAAAACCAAGCGAGAAATGACAAAATGAGTCAACTAAATGTGTGCACCCAAATAGTCAACCAATGCCAAATCAAAAAAATGAAATACAGTACAGTAAAATAGAAGATTTAATGAAAGAATTACCAGACCATTTGTTGTGTGGTTCACATGCAGCTATCACAGGAACATAAGGAACAATCAGATCTCTAATAAAAGATGGACATTGTCCATTTAAGGCTTTATTTGTGTTAAATTCTATTCTTAAAATACAGTGAAGCAAATGAAGAGAAGCCAGGATAGGAGAGAAATGATCTCTCTTTTTAATTTTTAATTCAAATTGTTTTATTAGATATTTTTTATAGATATTAGCAAATATCTATGAAATATCATATGCTTTACTGAGCTGGTCAATTTCCAGCTTTTAAGCTGAAGATGTTCCAGTATCCTTCCCCATCAACCAGCATAATTCAACCACCTCTCTGACAACTTGGTGATTAACATGTCAGCATCCTCGTACCAGTGCGGAAGATTTACAGTTTTATTTGGCACAACGTTCCTGTCGTTAAGAGAATGATATAGGGATGGGTTGAAGAAACCTTTCCAAATGGAAATATTACCTGAGAGTATGTGGTGCCATAAAATGACAAATCTGCAGCATGACGGCCGGGATGGCACCATCTATTTCACGCTCATTATGGCCTAGGCTTGGAGGGTAAAGTGGTCGAGTTTTCGTAGTCTTACTTCGTCTGAGTGTGTGTGTGTGTGTGTCCTTGTCCTCAGGCAAGTGTCAGACCTGGTGCTGATAGATCCCATCCCGGAGGACATTTTTGAAGAGGACCAATGGAAGGAGTACTGGTGAGTACATTGGATGCTGCCTGTCTGTGGGAGGAGGAAAAATGTGGAGGGTGAAGGAGCTTCGAATGAATATTAGGAAGCAGAGAAAGAGGGGAGATGGAAAGCTTTAAAGTTGATTTGTAATAAAGGAAACAGAGAAAAAAGATGTTTTATGTATGCATCTGATTAGTCTGCTGGGTGGGGCTCGTTAGCATGATTAATTGGAGGCCAAGGAAGCTCGTTAGCAGCCTGTAGCCTTCTGGCAGGAAACAGATGAGTGGGGAACAAAGTGTTGTGGCAGCGGTAGGGACTGGGTTTCTAAAAGTGTAAAATACACCCTGTTTAATCTGCATGGGATGATTCAACGTGGAGTGGTAGTCATAGCCGCAGCACATGTTTCATTATTCTGTACTTATCATACATGAGAGGGCAGAGGAGGACCGTCGATTGAAATGCCAGTTATGCAACACTCTCCGTGTCTCTGATTGCTAACAAGTACAGCATGTCCTATATAGTTGTCAAATGGTACGGCACCACTTCAGATTTTGTTATGAGTGTATAATTGATCAAATCATCAAAGGCTTTTGGATTTCACTGACAGCATAGCCTCAGCATGTGCGTGGTAAATCGCATCTCGAAAGCACATCGTTCACGGTTTTCTCAGTTTGCTGTTCAATTTTTTAGCCCAGAAGACACAGTGGATGGATATCTTCCATAAGCAGGTTCTCATATTGAAAAATATTGAAGTGTCGCATGCACTGCCAAAAACTGAACTCCAAGTCAATTTTTCTTAAAGTAAATGCACTTTTTTATTGAAGAAGGTAGGTGAGACACTTTGCTACTGAAAAAAAAGACAGTTTACTTTAAAAAACAAACAAACAAAAAAACAATTGCGTTGTGTTATTCCAAGTACATAATGTTTAATGATTAAAACTACTCATTCCATTGAGAGATCATCTTATTTAGCTACTCAAATTAATGAATGATCCAGGGTCATTATTAGCAGGTATTTATGGTGATACTGATATTGGGTAGTCCTTAAAGGAATAGTACACCCAAAACATGATTAGCCTTCATTTTCTACTCACCCCCATGCTGAACAACACTCTGGAGTACTTTTTTG